CGGACTTTTATTTGTTTGTGAGTGACTTGGTCCAGGATATATACCAATAAATTTCTGAAAGGCGTTTCAGAATTTTACGGTTAAATATTTCTTAATATATACAACTACCTATGTTGTTGTCTTGCAGAACAAATTGCGTATTTTTTTTATATAATTGAGATTGATATTCTTTTAATACAAATTTTTATGCAAATATATTTTTCAAATGAAGTATATGATAAAGGAGCATAACATGCCATTTTTTGTATAAGATGTATAATTATCAGCCCTCGGTCGATATCAACCCTCAATCTTTCGGTCTGATATATTGACCTAGGGCTGATAATATATCTGGTACGAAAATGTCATGTAATAATCTGATTATCTTTCAAAGTTTGTTCATTCAAGTACTTAAAGGAAAGACTGTTATCTTTTAGCCGGTTTCTACAGTCTTTTTCTTGAGATTCACCGCAAACTTCCGTGATGTTTTTTGTTTTTGAAGTCTCTTGACTTATTATCTTAGTTAATTTTTTTTTCGTATGACTTATTATCTTAGTTATATTTTTTTCGTATTCCCAAACGGCAGTTAATTTTGGATTCCTAGAAGAAAATTTGATTAAGTCTGATGGCTTGACTGTGAGGAATACCCCGGAGCAGTGTTTCGGGTGACAACTCTTCGGAGGGAGAAACTCCTTGTCATTTTTTTAATATTTTTATATTTATATTTTAATATATTCAGCTCTGTGTTTGAAAGCATAAGTGTATTTAAGCACGATACACATTTTTATATCTGTTATGCATTAAAAAAGTATGTGAACGTATATATAAGTATGCCACTAGTATGCGACGGGTGCCATAAGAGGAGCAGGATCTACTTACCCTACCGGAGCATCTGATGTCATCCCCAGGTTTTGTACGGTTTGTGGTGCTCAATCTTTAATTTTTCTATGTAGTGTTTTATCAACCTGTTGTAGTAAAGTTCCGTGTGAAATTTATTGTGATTCAGTACAAAGACTGCAAGATTGACCTTATGTGAATATTCTTTTTACGTCCCTATATGCTTTTATATATGTTTGGCTTTCAAATATTTGGGTTTTAGCGATCCAGGTTTATCCGAAAGTTCGCTTTTTACGCACCAAATTTATTAGGGATTAACTGTTGATGATTTCCCTTTCAGGAGTTGAAAGCAAACACTGTGACTTTCAATTAAAGCGTTGTTCCTTAGCTTTATGTTATGCGATTTTTGCTGAGCATTTACTGATTTTGTGTCATGGTTAGATACTCCATACCCTTTCTTTTCTATTATAGGAATATTTGGTATAAAGACTAGAATAGAATGAAGAGTTCAGTTATTTCTTTTTGATGAATATTTATATAATACTAATTAAAAATTAAGGCATGCAATGTTCTTTTTCTTAAAATTCTCAAATCTTTAAAATAGTTTGTAAAATTAAATACAAGAAATCTGTAACGATTGATTACCTACCATTCAAAAATTAAAAAAAAATAAATACATTTTACGTCCTTAAAATAACCTATATAAGATTGACCCTCAAATCACAACAGGAACTAGTATATTTCACGTGTTGAAGCCACAATACCTTCCTCATCTCCCCAATAGTGACATGACGGCTTGTGAATTATCACCTAGTTGTCAGGACAGCATGCACAACACGAAGGCTGTTCCTTCAGACCATACGAGTAAATCCCTATCTTTTCTAAAGTGGTTTCGTTCAAGTTACTTTCGATTTTGTTTTCAGTATTACATTTTATGTTTGAGAGTATTTGTTTGTTCGGTGAGAGTCACGGTCTTGCCTATCCAGGCCCCTTTCAGAGCACCTGAGTTCATTTTTAGCCATTTACAAGGGTTTCGTTCGTGTTGCTTTCGATTTTGATTTCAGTTCTGAATCTTTGTGTGACTATTTTTGAAGAAAGTTTTTGGTCTCAGAAGTTCGCCAGAGATCATTTTCACTTGTCAACAAAGAGGTTGTGAGTTCGAACCCCGCTCGTGGCAGGTGCGTTCGATCCCCATCTTAATTGAAAAGGATTACTAGTTTTCCTGCCGAAAGTCGATGGTTCTCTCCAGGCAACCCGGCTTCCTCAACATGTAGCCGGTGGCCGCCAGGATAAAATCAAGAGTGCTGAAAGTGACATTTAACGACAACAATCATTCAGTCAATTGATAAAATTCTGGTTGGACAATTTGGCTTGAATCGATGGTTCTATATGTAAAAGTAAAGATTTTATCACCTAGTTCATTTATAAGATGTTTAGGTTAAAAGCAACTATATGCACAGGATTCATTTGTTTTTTCACAGTTTGATTTAGAAGAAAAACCATAGTTATAAAATACAAATAATTACATCATTAATAACACAATTCTATATTAATATTCTTGTAATGGTTAGAAAATACATCAAATAACACCATTACAAACTTAATCCCAATTTCATATTGTATTTTTAGAAATTTACCTATGACGTCATACATTCGTATGACACACAGTTCATTATTCTATTGTGCTGTATTTGTGTTCTGTCGTAATTTAATTTTAGGTGTTCTTTGTTATTCTGTGGTTTACATGTTGAAATGGACTATTATATTATTTATTTATGTATTTCTCTGTCCTGAATGTTCTTGTATTTATTTGTACTTTATTCCTGTCACGTAATGTTGTCATTTTAGCGGTATATTTAACATTGCTATATAAGCGGGAGGTTTGGCTAGCCATAAAACCAGGTTCAATCCACCATTTTTTCTTAAAATGTCCTGTACCAAGTCAGGAATATGGCAATTGTTATCACATTGTCCGTTTTTATGTATGTTGGCGTTTGTTTTTGTAGCAGTTCAGTGTTTCTGTTGTTCCGTTTTGTTTCCTCTTATAGTTGATGTGTTTCCTCAGTTTTCGTTTGTGACCCGGATTTGTTTCAGTTAAATCGATTTATGAATATTGAACAGCGATATACTACTATTGCCTTTATTTAGAACTAAGTGATTTCTTAGGGTTAGACAAGAGACATTCACAGATCATTCACAAATGGCCACTATAATGACATACTCCTCGAATATATATAATCAATGTATTTTGTTTGGAATTATTAGTGAAGCAAGAACTGCCGATCCTTTTATGACACCAGTGTTAATTCCTGGTTTTTTTATGGTGTTCATGTTGCGCAATAATTGGAATCTGTGTCGTGTGTGTTTTGAGGACCTGTTTGTCTGTTGTCGTTTTTCCAAAATTAATCTTCTAAACTAAACATAATTACAATGGGGACGAATTTACTTTTCTGATAATTTTGCTTTACTAAATGTTAATGTACCGTTAGAAACACTAAAACAATATATATTTGAAGATCTAACATTGTTGGGCTAAATTTGAGACGAATTGTATATTTATTATGGTGTTAGCTCTGTATAACCACGTGTTATCCGATGGAGAATGTCAGTCATAAAGTTGTCACATGTTTAGACATGTATAATAAAATCAAAATTCGATGTGGCGGCATGGTAATTAACATTATTATCCTTAACGACAGACAAAATAGCTGATCTAAAAAATACACCATTTACTTGCCACTATACATCATGTACTGTGTTACAACCCTAGATAAAGCCGACGAGGAAAGGTATTACATCGACCACCGAAAGCTATATTTTTATGTAGCCTAGATGGTCGAGTGGTCTAGGGCGCTGGACACGGTGCAGGCGTTGTTGCCACGATGTCACAGAAGCAAGGGTTCGAATTCCGCTGTTGGAAGAACAAAAATTTGCTAACTCAAGTTTGAAGATCTAACATTGTTGGGCTAAATTTGAGACGAATTATATATATATATATATATATATCTTCAAAATGTTGAGATGATTAATAAATGTCAATAGAATGAAAGGAATCGCTCGTAAACAGTGACGTGAATTTATTGATTTAAAAAAAAACTTAACTATAGATTTCGAACTATCCAGAACTGTTATTTCCAAAGGTCATTACACTTCTAATAGGCAGATGTGGTATAATGTTATACAAAAAAGTATTTGCCACACAGTTGTCAGTGTCGATCTGCTGTTAGTCTCCTTGTCAGTCTAATAGTCCAATAGATCAGTGTATTTATGTGGCCTACCGAGTAGTAGGTGTTTATGGTGTCTGTTATAAAAATAAGGAGATGATGGATGATTGTCAATGTGACAACTATCCACCAAAGTTCAAATAAAGTGTTAGTTTGCGAGACTGTATAGCAACCAGATACCAGTAATTGAAATCATAAGTAACCAAACAGATACAAAAGAACTCACTTGACATAGGACATAACTCTGCTTCTGTATCTATTCGGGTATTTTTTTTTAAAGGATGCCGGAAATTTTGCTGCATAGACGTGAATGCTTACGAACTGTTGTTCTCCTGGAGTTGCATCCTTGAAGTATCTATTGTTTAAGTGCTGTTGTTACTCGAGAGTTTTTTTAAACCAAGCTTTCAGTAATTATGGCATTTAGTTTCCGTTGGTGCCACCACCTTGTAGGCAATGGTTGCAAACAGCTTCACTCTAGGATATTACAATCCCTGAAGTTAGTTGCGAGCGAACAGTTTAACCGACCAAATATAACATGGTTACCGACAGTTGTTTCCCATTGATATAAAAAAAAACAGTATTCGGTTCTTCCGACTTGTTGTTTTCCAAAATATATCACCCCATCAATAGTCAATAGTAACGGACCGTTGTTCACCGACTAGTAACACATTTTTGTTCATCATTACAAGCTAGTACATACTATTATTTCCCCGAGGGTATGAACAAACAATTCAAATTCAAGTGTATGGTAACGGACTTTGTTTTACTTGAAAGCTAATGATGTTTAAGTACTACAAACGTGAGTAGCTATATGACCATTTAGGGCCTAAAATAAAAGTCAAATTCCCCTGAGGTCAAACTTTCCAGAGAGAGTTGGTTCTGAATCATACAAAAAGTCTTAAATACATCAAACATATTTGATAATTATGGAGATTAAAGAAATTGAAAAAAAAACCAATGTTCTATTGCAAACATATTTTAATTGATTGTTTTATCCAACTAGTAGTACACTGTCAACCGTTACTTGCGAACAGTGATTGCAAGACTTTGGACAGAGGTTTTTAACTGTAGGCACATTACACATGTTGCTGGCAACAAGTATGGTGCAGTTCATTTTGTCTTCACAAGGAGGACCTATAATAATAAATAAATAAACAGTATAATATCGTATACTTTAAATGATGATAATTTGAACTGTTAATTGACGTGAAAAATATAGACAAGATAGGATAAAGCTCATAAAGCGAGGTATAATACGTTATTAAAGTCATAATAATTCTCACCGGGCAATAGTATCAATGAAAATAATTATACTGAAATGTTAGGCAACTATTATTTTGTTTTTGTTTTCGGTTTTGTTTTTGTATTTTGTTTTGTTTAAGAAACTTTTAGCAAACTTTTGTTTCAAATCACCATTCGGCGATTATTCATATTTTAAGTTATTTTTTGACGTTGGGAAACTTCAATAAATGAAACGGGAAAACACTAAATAACATGAATATATTTATTTTGTAGATGTAGACAACATAATTAAGGTAAGAAAGAAGTTTTAATATGCTTATTTGTACATATAATTCCCTTAGCTGTTTGAAGAAGAAATGCGAATGACCAGAGACAGAACTATCATATTTGACTGAAAGTTAAATCTATTTTTCTAATAGCAACGAGGAGTAGATTCACCCGTTCTTTAGAAGATGAAATTCCCTTTGAGAACTATCATATTAATATATAGATAACAAAACTACTAAATACAATCATATAATGATTATTCTTTTATAGTTGGTGACCATAATGGTCATTCATATACGTGTTTTGAAGTTTGAAAACCGTTTTACTCTTTATAATACACATATTTGTCGGATTTATATCCTCAGAATCCGTATTCCATATAGGCACTAGAACAAATTCAAGCAAAATCCAATAAAGGAAATATGATGGATAAGCGTAGGTTACATAAAAAGTTACAATGAGCCCGGAGGGTGAATGGTATTTATTTTATGAAAAGCTCATTGTACATAGAATTTTGCTGCCTAATAAATAATTCAAAATTTGGACGAAGTTCAAGATTTTTTATTTAATTACGAAATCTGTTGTTTAAGTATGGTAAGTTTGCAATGTCCATTGGCCAATATTACAGAGATATATAAGCAGTTAAATAGTACGGAAGGGGGAGCTCGGACCACATTTTGCCCAAAATCCCTGTTAATTTGAAAAAAAAGTCCAAGATAAGAGGGGGCGGGCCACCTGGCCCACTCTCAACACGCCTCTGATGATAGAAATGTTTTTTCCTCGTCAGGGACGGAGGAATCACCAAATACCAGTATGTCTTTGGAATGTTGTTCAGAATAATATATACGACTGTTATGGGAAATGAACGGCAATAAAATTTAAATTCTTTAAAGGATTCCTTATCTGCTACATCAATCGTGGGAGACGTCATTGCATTGGTGGCATTAAACTGGCACACGTTTCTCGCTAGAATAGCCTACCGGAAGGGTAATTTAGGGACCATATTCAATTCTTATTCGCCAATAATCAATAATCTTAAATACCCTATTATCCTTACACCCGTTATATTTCTAGTCCGGGGGTGTAGTCGGGAGAAACAAGGGGAATTGATTTTGTTCCTTCCGGCTGCATATCTTGGAAACTACCGCAAAACATTTACCAGGTTAAAGTATAGACATCTAAAATTAAAAGTAGGATTTTGCGGTGAGAAATCTTTCAAAAAGTGGACCATTTTATCAAGATATGCTTGAATTTTATAATTATATCACGGACGACACAAGGTGAACAACCTAATAAAATTTCTAAACAATATCATGAACTCAAGAAATATCTATCAGTTAATAATTTACATTTCATTTGGAACTGTCATTTGTTTTGGGTTGTTTTTCATTTTACTTTGGTTATTTTTTCTTTTCAATTTGTTTTTGGTTATTTTTAGTTTTTTATTTTGCTTTTATACTATAAAGTAACACAGTCGACTTGTCCGTCTTAAGTCATATAATTACTCGCCAAAATGTTAACGGGGGGAAGAAGGGGGGGGGGGGGGGTGTTTCTTCCTACATGAAGGCCTTCTAAAACCATATGTATTTAGTATGTATGCAAACTATAGCGACCTATATAATGACCCGGTTGCCGGACGTGAAAGAGATCATCAATTTATTCTTTGTTCACAATCACCGTAAAGAAATGTGGTTGGATTTTGTTTTTAATATATTACACTCTTTCGATTACTGTAAATGTATATATCATTGATGCATTATCAATAAGCAGAGAACGCATGTGTGTGGGTTAAAGGGGTATGATTGGTCATTGACTTCTTTTCGATAACATTGCTATTATTTCTATGTCACGACAGCGTTTTGTTTTAATCTGTGTTAAAAAGGCGTTTACCATAACGTAATAGGTGTTTGCACATAACGTAATAGGTGTTTGAACGTAACGTTATAAGTGTTTGCACATATTGTAATATGTGTTTGCATATAACGTGATAGGTGTTTGCACATAATCATGATAATGTAAAAGGTGTTTGCACATAACGTAATAGGTGTTTGCACATAATGTCATAGGTAGTTGCACATAACCTAATAGGTGTTTGCACATAATGTAAAAGGTATTTGCACATAACGTAATAGGTCTTTGCAAATAATGTAACACGTGTTTGCACATAACGTACCAGTAGATGCACATGAGATCTTGAATGTTAACAGAAAGTATCAATTGTTTGGCAAAACGCATATCAGCTATACCATGGCATATTATATTTTTCACAGAATATACATATGAATAAACACAACATAAAGCCATTAAAATATAATATCATGAAGTTTTCATAGAACTAAGATGTATCAAAACAAAAAGTTTAGAACATTCAACATAACAATCCCATTTGAGACAGGACGCAATATTTACTGACATACTTAAAGGAAGAATACCGTATACACAACTTAGAGGAAATGTGACAGAACGTAAAAGTGGTTGATCATAAAGTTTAGAGGTATTCACAGAATATACAGTAGTTACAACATAATGTCATGCATATTGCACATAACAAAGAATAGCAATGATATATCATACAATTGTTTGACAAAACAAATAATTAATTTGACATAACACAGAGATGCAGTGGCAGGAAATAAAGACACTTACACATAACATAAAGAAGAAATGTCAGGACGTAAAGACAAAGCTACAAAAAACATTAATATTTGCACTATAAGACAGTTACGGCGTTCCATATATTTGATTCTTTACTTCCTTACCGAGCGGGACTGGAACCTGTACTTTTCACTTCTCGGTTCTACGCAGACGCCTTATCCCTCCTCTAACTATAGCTGATTTTTTTATCAGCTAAATGCGGAGATGAAACGAAATTTAAATGGTTGTTTGTGTAATTAAGGTAACCATACATAGTCGGGACTTTCAAATGTTCGAAAGAGGCTTTAAGGCAGTGATATGTTTGTTTACAATTTGACTCTCTGTGGAGCGTACGGACCTGAATGTAGAAGAATTGATAATTTCTTTTTGGAGAACTTCCGTGTAGTATATGCGTCACACCACCACTACATTATTGGCTGCTTTGTCTGCCGGTACGAACACAAACCGCTTTGCGAGTACTTGGAGTTTATTTTTTATTCTAGAAATGGGTATATCATGAACCCTATTATTAATTTCAGCATTGTTTTCAAAATGAGATATACGAATATCAACAGTATTCATAATTTTATTCAAATAACTATTCCAGAGATTTTTTTCAGATTTTTCACGTTTACACCAATTTTTACAGTAGGCAGACAGAGCGTCTTTAATGACCTGACGACACTGTTTCCAATCTATAATAGACGAAGGACGATATTTAGGTCCTTTCTTAAGAAAAGTTTTGACCTCACGGTCTTCAACGATGTTGAGGTCTCCTGTAATGACATGACCATAGGGAACATATCTAAAACTAGATGTTTCACAGTCTCAAGTGGAAGGAGCATTATTTTCTATATTGACGTCTGATGTTACTGACGTATAATTAAAAATCAAACTTCTGCTGTTTTTTTTGTACGAATACGAAATAATAGGTGGTTCTGTATTATCGAAATATGGAGGTATTTGGCTATGGATGGTAGAGTCATTGTATAACTAGATAAGTTAATAAAATCAATACCTCTATTTAAATATTTTAATTTAAGAAAATGCCGTTTGTGATTTTCAGGTTTATCGATACTAGGAAACAGCCTGTGTTGACAAAAGGCTGTAATAATACAGGTGTATTCATACAACGGGCTAACAAATGAAATTTTATCACACTCCAGAAAAATATCATATAATTTACTTCTTGGTATATGACCAAGTTTGCATAATAATTGATGTCTACCATTATTTTTTATTATAGATAACAGATCAGCAAGTGTATAATTTATAAGATGTTTAATACGTAGATTACGGTTTTTACGTTTACCATGAAACCTATTATTTCTTAGCCGTTTATCGACAATATTAATGACATCGATAGAAATTATAGATATGTTCCCCTGTCCCAATATTTTGTCATTGAGACCGAGAGGATAAGCTGTTTGAAGTCTTTTTATCCAAAATAGTTCGCGAACTTAATTCACAGGATTTTTCGAATTGCTTGTGTGACTGTCCTGGTTGTTTCTGAACGATTTCAAGTGGTTGGAATTTTATAACTTTTAGATTGTGATTATGCTTATCTAATTATTGGTATATCAAACTTTTGAATTTTTTAGGTCTTCGAAAGCGGTAAAGGTGCTCTTGATTTCTTCTGTAATATTCGAAACCCTTTTTGTATATTTCACACAAGTTCATATCCCCCTTTTGGTATAGTTTTCGTTATTCAAAAAATTCTCAATAGCCCTAATTTAGAAAAGTTGTCAATGGATTCTACAGACACTACTAATGATCTGCTCTCAAAAACTTATTTCTAAATTCTCAACAATAATAATCAACAACAATCAATGCAATGGCTTTCACACTTTCTAATGTAAAAATTAAAACAAATACTAGATAATTGAATTAATAAAAATAAATGATAATTACGAGATATAACTGTCCAATACCATTAATATCTTGACATTGAAATGATGTAACATAAGCGCCATGTGCAGCTCTTGCAAGGAATTTATGCATACTCAATTTTACCTTGAGCACTTTGAATCTATGCGGCGTGAAAAGCGAGACACGTTACTACAATTACTGCTTTTACATATGTAAAAGGGAAATAGAAATATGCCATATTCTTGTCATTCAGAATAAAACGGATGTATGACTCTAAACCGTGTAGCAACAAAAAGGTGTAAGATACAGTAGCAGATAAAATGCATCCAATGTACATTTCAAAAAGTAATATTTTATGTTAGCAAACTCGAAACCAAATTTTGAAATCCGAAAGTGTCCATCGCGTGAAGCACACCTTACATAATAAATTGTCTAAATAAAATGATATTTCAATGAACTTTTGTCATCTTTTTTAAATACTTTACGTAAGTTGGGTAAATTATACATACCTACATATTCAGCGCAATAGTTACATGTCAACGGACAAGTTTGAATGGCATATTTCTTTGTATCCGGTAGTGCATTTGGGTTGCACAATAAGTTTTTATATGAAGTGTGTGAACATCTATTATCATGGTCTATACATGGAGGTATAATGGTAGAACCTTAATAAACAAAACACTTTTATCATACATCAAGGCTATTGTGAAAAATTAACAGATCTTGAAAAGCCTACAACATGTTAATGATTAATAGTTTTTATAAGTGTTTGTCTGATTTAGGATTTGTTTTACTTGCAAAATGCAAATTTAAAATGACGTAAATATAATCGATAATTGAAGAGGCATCACGCAACTGGTTTTAGACCTGGACATGGTTCCACATATACTGACATTTAATTTCTAAAAATAAAACTTTTACAGATTCTAAAAGTGGTTTGACAACATAAATATAAACTTTCTTTATTTCAAGCTTGTTAGATATGGTATTCGTAGTAAGCTTCATTCAGTCATAAATTCTTCATTTGATAATTCCGTTAGTTTTATAACGTTTAAAGGAGTTTTTTTTATGATTTCTCTCTATATATATGAAAGGTGTATTACAAGGATAACAATTATCACCCATTTTGCTTTCATTATTTTTCTATTACTTTGAAAAGGAATTAATAAGTAGTTTATTTCTGCCAGTTGAGATCTTTCATTAATTTTATAATGCCTGCAATAAACTGACGATACCAACTTTACTGCACCAGATGCGCATTTCAACAATTAATGTCTCTTTATTAATGCTCGAGGCGAACATATTTGTAAACTATACTGTAATCTTGTGTGAGAATGCTGAATGAATGCAAAATATGCTGAATAGCTTCATAGTTATTGTAGAAAGTGAATCATGCTGTATACACATGTAAAACTATAATGATTTTTTGCAAATACGGTTGTGAAATAAGATGTGATAAATATGGTTGTTATATAGCGAAAAGATTGTATTTGCGGATCACTATTAATTTTACATATTGGAGTTGAATAACATTACAGTGGAAATTCATTTATAAACGTTTCGTTGATGATTTCCAATTACCGTTTAATCTGACAAAAGATATCAACCCATTGTATCATGTTTTCAATTAAGTACAGACTGTGTTATTTACACATACTTTCTATTGAATAGGATGGGTTTGATGTATGTAACAAAGGTGATTTTGAGTGCTAGTTTAGAATTTAACATAAATATACAAAAACATCTGTTTATAAACTGGCTGAATTATGTCAATGAAGAATGTCTAATTTTGGAAAATAGTCGAAATACGCAAAGACATACGATTTTTGTTGATTTCTTGTTCGACTTGCTTTATTATGTCAATTTTGTATTTTTGAAGTCTTGCTTCGATTACATCAAAAATGATAAAAATGAAGTGTTTTAATATTAAGTAGGTATAAATGTTTTAAACCTATAAGCTGTATTTGTTTTGGATTCAAATATTTTTTTTCATTTCCATCTATGAGTAACAGCTTTTCTTTATTATGTTTAACTTGAACTTAAAAAGACCTTTTTGAACATTTAGGAAATAATCACCATTTACCGGTAGGATAATTAGATAGATAGACGAATCGTGTGTTAAGCGTAACAAGTCTGGTATCTTTGGTGGTTTTTACCACTTCTGAGTGATCGCACTGCTGATGGACATTTCATCACTTAATGTATCACAACCCAGGTAGTGAGCTGATATGAAATAGTATTGATACGGTCATTTCTTCTAAATTTAAAATGTTGAATTGTACCAAGTCAGGAATATGACAGTTGTTTTCCATTCGTTTGATGTGTTTGAGCGTTTGATTTTTCCCTTTGATAAGGGTCTTTCCGTTTTGAATTTTCCTTGGAGTTCGGTATTTTTGTTATTTTAATCTTTTATACCCTAAAGGTTCTTCCCCAATGCATATATTCAGCTCAACTTTTCTGTGAATTGTAATTTTCAATGCACTTCAATTTGATTTTGAGTTGGTCCTTCTTCTGTCTTGATTGGAGCGCCAATGACGAGTCTTATGAAGGCTAAAATGCGCCTATAGCGTACCAAGTAAAACGTCTGGCATCTTTGATTAGTTTTCAGAACAATATTCTTTGATTTTGTTTACAGATAAAAAGTAATTGTTATTTTTATCTGTATACTTAACATCTACATTGTATTTTGAGTGGCCTTGTCGTCATTTAAGTTTTATGACTAGCAAGTCATACGGTGTTGCTATATGTAACTTGTATTAATGTTTGTTTAATCAAGACTTACCCGTCAACTCTGACTGAGTTGGTGCTGTTTCGTCTCCTAAAACACAGTATGAAACACACTGTACGTATGTTGAACTGAAATTTTGAAACTTACAAAATATACATCTATTTTCTTTACCAAGTGTCAAAGAATCATAAATCAGCTTTAAAGTAGTAATATCTTTCGAACATTCAAAACGTTTATGAACAGTCTCCTTATGTTTAAAAAAAATAGAACTTTAAAATAAGATCTCGAAGTGCTTTCATGATATTTGAACAAAACATCAAGACATAATAACGACGTAGGGAATATGGCTGGGATAAGTTTGATTGTTTAATGGGAAAGGTGGGCGGGTTGAGGTTTGGTGGAGGATTCACGTATTGAATATGTAAGCCTAGAAAGAACTGAAATAGAAATAATGTTTTGCACAATACATGATGAAAACGAATATTTTACCCTAAAAAATGCAGGATATAATTGTGTGCCGTGCGAAATAAATAAGCTTGATTAGCAACAACAGTAAATGGGCAGTACGTCAACGACCCCCCCCCCCCCTCCCCCCCGAAAATTAAATGGTCGTCCTCTACTTAAATTTGTTTGTGCAATGACCAACCAGTACATAACGTCAATATGGCCTTCAGTTCAAAGAATTATTTGATACGTGTCGATTAAACAATTCGTTCTACAAAGAGGAAACTGATTTTATGGTATTAAAAATTTAAAGCGAAAAAACAAAATAGATTATTTACAGTTAAATCACTTCTATCTTTCCTAATTTGATTTTTTGTAATATGTTAAAAAATATTCCCATACGCATAGTTTTGTTTGTAAATCATGCTGCGTTCACACGTAATTCGAATTCGATTCGCATCAACTAATTCGAATTAGTTTAATTCGCATTCGAAACGTTTAACGCCCAAACGTAAATTCTAATTCGAATTGCAATGCGCGTCAAATTCGCTTTACTGTCCTAACGACGTTAACTTTAATTCGTATTAACAAAAACGCATTTCTAATGCGAATTGGATAATGCGATTTAGCCAATTCGAATCAATTGGAATTAAAAAAGAAGAGTGTGTGAACGCGATTAGCGAATTCGATTCGCATTCGATTCGAATTCAATTCGAATTAAATGTACGTGTGAACGAGGCATGAATTTAAAAACAATAGGAGCGTAGTAAAGCCTATAAGTTACACTAAATTAATGCTATTGGAAACCATAAATATGCTTCAAATGATTACTTGGATCACCTCCTTTTAACAATAAAAATTTAATTTTGACACAAAGCACTCGCGCATATTTAAAAAAAATAAAAAGACAAACTTTCATCAGAAATAATATCTAAAAATGAAAAATATTTTTTGCTTTTCGGCCTAAAAATATTTTTCTCCATATAGAATTAAATGAGTTGTCTAATTTATCAATTCTTATTCTTACATTTAAATCACACAGCGAATTTGGAAATTGACACTTTCTTCTTTTGGTGAAGTTATGTAAAAAGAGTGAAAATGTATATCGTAATTTGTTACCATGAAAACCATTTTTTTTTGTTCATGTATCTGTTGTCCTTTAAAATTCATTCTGGTCACTTCTTATTGTAATCGTTCTAAAGAAGAACACTTTGATTCAGCAAATAATTAAGTTTTCTTCTATATTTTTTCTTTTACGTTTTTGGAGTTTATTGGAGTCCCTAAGTCTTCGTTGTTACTATGATCTGTCTCTTCTTAATCGATTTACGAAATTTGAAACTCGTTTAACTACTGTCGCCCTAATTTAAGAGACAGTATCTCCATATTTATGCTCAGTGATATAAAGACCATACTGAAATTCTTTTTAAAGAAATTATACAACAGAAAGAATGTAGAATGTGTCTTCCTTATCTATAAAATGTCATAAATTGTACGTAACTAACATTATAATATACAGTTACGTACAATTTATGACATTTAGATGACTTAGATAGATAAGGGAAACACATTCTACATTCTTTCTGTTGTATAATTTCTTTAAAAATAATTTCAGTATGGTAAGTGTGATAAGGCCACTTGTTTGGTCGTCTGCCAGATGGCTTATATTAAACTTTCTATGGTGTTTAACAAATTTGATTATGGGCTTCAAACTTCAACTTCAAATCTGCCAAATTAGTCTCATTTCGGTACCTTGTCTTTAATATTTAGATATAAGCCACGGCTTTACTCAAAACCATATTTTGCTCTAAGATGGTTTACCCTAATTAAGATGCTAATTCGGGTAAAATAAATTTTGGGTAAGGCCATTGTTCATACCAAATTTACCAAAATCTTTGTGTAAAATGGTCTTCCAGGTAAAATACATCAATTTAAACGTGTTTATTACGTCATGGCGACATCACAACTATCTTTTTAAACTAAAGTGTCAAGATTATATCACTTTTATCATTTATTAGTAAAATTAACAAAAGTTTGAAAAAATTGAAGAATTTTATTATTTTTGCAATTTCAGGACAAAATTATGACTCTTATCACACCTTCTTTTTTTTATTGCTTTATCAAGTGTCAGAAACATTGTACAAAATCAAACCTCCACACAGGTTGCAAAATTTTGAACACCTTGTCCTCGCTATAGTTTGTAGTGTAGGTGTAAGAGATGTACATAAACTATAGTGGTTGTTGTAGTCTTGACAACTGAATTTAGCGTCTTCACGATTTGCACATAAAGTTAGTGATGTTGTTCCTGCAACAGACAAAATATTTTATAACATATAATATGACGATGTCAGTTTCAGAGAATATTTTGTTTGAATCAGAGTTTTTTTTTTTTTTACAAAGTATGATTTATTCTCTTAACAGGCCGGTGACCCCCAATTTTTTGCTCATATTTTCAATGTACATGTTGTAGGAATCAACTGTGCAAA